AAAAAAAAAAAGAAATTACTCTCTTTCTTTTCACATTTTGTAGTATCAATACTATTGTGAAACCCCAATTACATCCCCTTCTGTTCTCTCTGTAACGGTAATGAAGAAAGCGGAGGAATGCATTGTGTATATACTGCGGTAACTGTTACTGTTGTTCCTGCTTTCTGTCGGACGTGGGAATGGTGATAATGGCAATGATGATGATGATGATGATGTTATTGATGTTGCTGTTGATGTTCTCATTGCTGTTGTTCTTATTCCTTCGGGAAGTGTTGATGTTCTTCGGAGTTCAGGCCGGTGGTAAAAGTGAATTAATGGCATTTGAAGCTTTTTTCTTTTTTTTTTTTTGCTCTTTCCTTATTTTTCTGAATCACACTGGGGTATTGTATTGTATATATTATATTATATATATATATATATGTATATATGTATGGGTATATCTGCGATGAACTTTCTATTCCTTACTTCACACGTCGTTTTGTTAAGATGCCTTGAGAAAAACGTTATACAACGTCGTCTATTTCTGATATCCACTTTTTATTTACACACTCAGATACTCTTTCGATTTCTAGTCGTATAGCCATTATATATATATATATATATATTGAAAGAAGAAAAAAAATAAAAAAAAAAAGAAAAAATACATAATAATAATAATAATAATAATAATAAGGAAAGGATAGAATCAATATGAAAAAGAAATAAATAGTCTAAAAGGAAATAAAGGAATATATACAGAAATAAAAATACAAAAAGTATGTGTGGAATATATATATATATATATATATATGCAAAGAAAACACGCAATCCCCCTTTATCATCCTCTTCTTCTTTCCCAGATAATTAATCCGTATTTCCGTTTCTTCCCATTACAACTGCAAATGCCTCTTTAAATGCCTCTTCACATCCATTCCGCAGGGTCTCTTCCATCGCTGCAGTAACACTACACACAACTTCCCGCAATTCTCGCAATTGCGCACATCCCGCAGAGTCCCACACTAATCGCTCCATCACACTTCCCGTACCTTTAGACCCCAATGCCTTTACTATTCCTTCTTTTTCTCCTTCTTTTTCTTTTGTTGGTATGTGTAATTTACATTGATGATGTTCATCATTATCTTCATCTTCTCTTCTCAGTAGTGTGTGATGGGCATCTGTCTCCAACAACACACATCGCTGCTGCAGAAGGAACGGCAGTGTTTGTGTGAGAAATCCCTTCACCCGCAAACTCGTCGTGGCCCCCACCCCAAAGAACACCCGCAGCGGTTCAGATTTATGTGAACTTCTCCCACTCACCGTCAATAAAGGCACCTGTCGTTTCTTTCGAATGGCCAGCACAGACTTTGCAAACTCTATTGTGCCTGTAAAGCCGTGGAGGAGAATAGCGGGCGGTGTGTGCTCCGCCGGGAGATCCCGCAGTGTCTGCAGCATTGGGCCAAAACTGCGCACACAATGAATAGAGACAGGGCGATTGTATTCGGCTGCGAGTCGCATTTGGGCCGTGAAGAGTTCGAGTTGCACAGACGGCGGTGGGCCGCGTAGTTTGTCCAGTCCAATCTCACCAACAATGGCATGTGGATAACGGCGTAGTTTATCTTCAAGTAGAGAAAGAAGTTCCTCTGCGGTATATTCTTCTTTTTTTTCTTCCTTTTCCTCTTGTGTCGGAATACCGCTAGGGATACTATCACTATCACTATTATTATTATTATTATTATTATTCCTTGTTTCCTTCTCCTTTTCTTCCTCTTGTTTGTATGGTACAAACCATGGATGAATACCAAATCCAGGAATAATAAGTGGAGTGGAGAGTTCTCTTATGGCCGGTGTGGGATGCACCTGCACATCTCCCTCCTTCACGGCGGCTAATCTCTCAATAAGACTCCAATCGATATTGGGATGTGTACCGCAGAGAACAGCGTGTTGAATCCCACACGGGAGAGAAGTAATGTGTTTATCATTATTATTATTGTTACTATTATTATTATTATTATTATTATTATTATTATTATTATTATTATTATTATTATTATTATTATTATCTGAAGTAGTATCTACTGGTGAAGTGGGAGACTTGACGTGACAGTGAGAATCTGTGAAATACTGAAAACGATCGACAGTCTCAGATGGATCTCCAATCATTATCTATATACACCAAAGAAAATAAACAATCATCATCACAAAACAAGCATTCGAAAAAATAAAAAATAAGAGAAAAGAAATGGGGTGGTATAACGACAGAAATGAAGAAGAAAAAACAAATAGATAATAGATAAACATATGTATATATAGATAGATATATAGGAATGTATATATTTTCACACTCAGCTCTCTACCCGATTGAATCACAAATAGGTAAAATATCATCATCATCATCATCATCAACAACAACAACAACAGTCAATGCAACTAGAGGGAATCCCATATGTAAATGTATGTGTAGTTCTGTATTCATATCTTACCCGTATGAGAAGAGAGAGAAAAAAAAAAAGTGAAACAAAAAAAAAAAAACAGGCCCAACACAACAGAAGGGTAAAAAAAAAAAAAAACATATCGTGAAACGAATATAAATGCGTTTATAAATAAATATATATATATATATATTTTATATATATGCTGAGGTATTGCTATTCTCAAAATAGTAATTCCTCTTTTCCCATTTATTTTCCTTTTTTTCTTCGTTCCTCTATGTGTGTCTTTGTCTCCCACTATCTCTCTTGAATGCTGCGAGACAAAAATATAATAATAAACAGAGTTTCTGTACTCCACGATATAAACGCAGTAGTTTAATGATGCTAGAGTAGCATTCACGTATTGACAATATCTCTTTTCCTCTTTCTCCCACTCTTGTTGTTACAGAATCAACAGGAGATGGAAAACAAAAATTAGAATATCTGTCTATATTCTTCTTCTCTCTTCGCTATTACCTTTCCATTTTTCTTTCCTTTTTTTTTTTTTTTCCACCCCCTCTATCTTGTCATTTTTTTTTTCCTAATTCCTGTTATGCACTGATTTAAACGTCTGTATGGTAGTAAGGCATTCTTTCCGCCCTTTTTTTCTTTTTTTTTCTTTACTCCTACTTTTTCCTTCAGTCTTTTTCTTCTTCTCTTTTCTTATAACTTCTTCCTTCTATATAAATGAATATATATATATATATATATATATATATATTCCTTTGTATTCCTACACTATTCGTCTTTTTTTCTTTCTCTTTCTCTTCTTCTCATCTCACTTCACTCTCTCAGCTGTATGATTGCTCTTTAACTACAAGACTCGGTCCGTAGACGCTTGGTCTCGGACTCACCCAAACTGTTCCCATCATTACCCCGCAGTTGTTGTTGTTGTTGTTGTTGTTGTTGTGATGTCTGTTGTTGTTGTGATTGCGGTTGTGGTTTTGGCTTCCGCCTGGCCACCACGTGATGGACTGGCTGACTGTTGGATGCCTCTGGACTGCGGCCGGCGACCTGCGGAGGGAACAGCGAGAGGGACATACTGTTGCTGTGTTCATTCCACCGAACCGGATTTGTGAGGGACTGCGGCATGGAGAGGGCCGAGTACTCGGAATCCCCTGGTAAATGAGAAAGATATGGATGTTGTAGTGACTGCGATGGTTGTTTTTCTTTTCTTTCTTCCTCTCCTTTTTCTTCTTCTTCTTGTTCTTCTGTGGCTACTCCAGCACCGTAGAACTCCTGTGCGGTTGGCAACATCTCCGCCTCCTTCGCGGCGAACTGCGCTTGTATACATTCCTGCAATTCCCGGTACTTTCCGCCTTTCATCGCGGCGGCATCATCTCTCAATTCCCGCAACTCCGCGATGAGTTCATCTGCAATCGTACCGGGTGGAAATCCCTCAATCTCCGCAATGGCGTTTGTAAAGCGAGACTCCGCCTCTTCAAAGTCTCCCTCCTTCATATAGCAATCCGCCATTCCGTAGAGAACAGCCGCGAGTCTTCCATGTGGAACCATTTCTGGTTTCTCCTGTTGAATGAAACGATATGTCAGGAGTTCACTTTCATACTCTTTGAGGGCACTATCAAAGTCCTCTCGCTCAACATGCAGTTGTGCAATCGCGTTATGCACCTCTGCGAGGGAAAGCTGAGTCTCTATATCCTCCTCTCCACGTTGTTCCTCCTGTTTTTGAAAGCACACACGGGCCACATCCAAGTTAATAAAACACGTCTTTAAGGCCTCTTGATCCAATGGCTCTAATGCAGCCTCTACAGAACTTCGTGTTTGCAGAAGACGTAATTGAGAAAGGCCGTAATCGAGAAAGTACGGTCCACAGATGGGAGATGTGGCTCCATACTTCTTTTCAAAGTGCCGCAGCACACGGTATTGAATATCAAGTGCATCTTCATAGTGGTGTTCATTATAGTGTTTGAGACCAATGGCCCGTGTGGCCAGCGCCTCTTCATCACTAGCGAATGGAGCTGAATCCTCATCTTCCGTATCCGTATTATCATCATTATCCTCATCCTCTTCACATGGAGAGGAAGAAGAAGAAGAAGAATCCTCCTGGTCTTCTTCTTCTTCCTTCTCTGCTTCTTTTTCTTTTTCTTCTTCGTGGTGTTTTGGTATATCCACCTGCTCGTGTGCTTTCTCTTCATTCTCTCCATGGTGAAGTGCGTCTCTTGCATTCATTACGTCTACGGCAGACGATGTTGTGTTGACGGCCTGTGTTGCATCTGAACCCAACTTTGTTTGAGACGATGATTCCATTCTTGTTATTATTATTGTTGTTATTCACTTCTATTTCTTTTTTTTTTTTCCTTCCCTCCACACAGACAGAGAGAGAATGAAAAAAAAACACTAAATAAACCAGAGACTCACTCTCACTATTTGATTTGTTTTATTTTTTCCTGTTCTTTTCCTTTTCTTTTATCCCTTTTTTTTTGCTTTTAATGGCCCCACCCCTTTACTTTGTGTAATGCTTTCCAGCAGCTAGAGTAAACAAAAAGAAAAAAGAAATAAAAAGGAACCAAAAACTCTGATGTATAGCCTCAGATACAGAGATATACTTGAGATCATAATAAATTAAGTAAAACCAAATAAAGTTTGGCTACAGGGGAAAAAAAAGAAATAAAACTGAATAGATGATACAGAAAAGCTCTCATTTTTTTTTCTTTATAAAAAAAACTTCTTCTTCTTCCACAAATTACTTTTCGTAAGTTTATGCTTGGTCTCGCCGTTTTTTTTTTTTTTTTTACTTTCGTTTTTCTTTTTTTCTTTTCTTTCTTTGGTGTGCCGTTTTTTTCTTTTTCTTTTTTTTTTCTTTCTTTCCTTTAATCTTACTTCTCTCCTTACATAAGGTTAGATATATACAAGTTGTATACATATTATTTTATATATGTATATATAATGAGAGAGAGAGTGTGTGTGTGTGTATGTGTTTTGGTGTTTGTTAAGGTGTACATATGTATTGGTGTGCGTACAAATCACGACGTAAACATATATGTATATTAGTTAATTATTTATAGAGGCACACGCATACACAAAACACGGAAAGACACATAATGATGTATGTGTGTACGTGTGTGTGTGTGTGTATGGCCTAAATTTTAGAATAAAAGAAAGAGAGAAAACAAGAAAAAAAAGAAAAAAAGAGAGAGACCATTTGGATCTGTGAACTCTGATGGCAAGAGAAATAGAGATTCCAAGAACACACACACACACAACAACAACAACAACAACAAAAGAGAGAAAAAAAAAAGAAAAAAAAAATGGCAATAGATTGTTTGCGTTCGTTGTGTAAAACAAACAAAGAGAAAGAAAGAAAACCAAACAAAAACAAAAACAACAAACAACAAACGAAAAAAAAAAAAACACACAGATGTGAGAGAGCACATGTGCAAAAATACTTCAGATAAATTTCAATACTGTTTGTAGTTAAACTGCAGACGATACGCAGGAGGTTTCGCCACAACTGTTGCATTTCCGGTTCGCTTCACCTCTCGCAGTGTCCGCTCTATACCGCCGTAGGCCAAAAAGTGTGGGGTGCCGTGGTTCTCAATGCCGCAGTAGTCCAGCAGGGCGACCAGACACGCCCGGCCCACCTCGGAACTCTGCGAGAGAACACACGGAATCTCTATGTGCCGCAGCGGCAGGCGTCTTCTTCGCCCACCCACACCGTCGTGTGTGTTGTTGTCACTATCCGTTGGGCGCCTTGCCGTGTTTTGGCGTTTGGACTGCGGTGGCTGCGGTGGTGGTTGATGGGAGGCCGGCGTTGGAGCCAATAATGATGATGATAATTGTTGTGCTTGTTGTTGTTGTCGTCGTGGTCGGGCGGAACGAGAACGCGATGGGGCTGGTGTGGATGTGGATGTGACTCCATTGACATCACTGCGTGTGTTGTTATTGTTATTGTTATTACTACTATTATTAATATTATTATTATTATTATTATTATTGTGGGGACGTCGACGTATTTCATGTGTGATGGCGTAACGGGATTCCCATGATTCTCCATCTGTATTCATGCCTGTTATCAATGGACGGTTTAATGCAATCGCATCTTCACTATTCACACCATCCACATACATGCGATTGTTTGAAAAGTGTGTTAATTCCACAGTGTAGGAATGAATAAGACTTCCACCAAATAAAACGCGAGAACTGCCTTCTTTAGATGTCATATGTCCTTTACCAAAACGGCATAATGGGAAAGAAAAGACATCCTTTGCGTGTAGACTCACAATTTTGGGAAATACCATATTCCAGTGTTGTACAGTCATGGGAAGGAAGTTTCCAAACATAAACCCACTTGATTGGGAAGCGTGAGAGTGAAAATCCATGTACATAAAGAAACGCTCCCGAAAGGTTTGTTGAAGGTGATCAAATACTTTACGTAAGGCATTCACAGTGGGTTGTGTTTGTGGATTAGGATTATTATAACAACGATTAAGATTAAACCCGTTTTGATCTAATCGAGAATGACCTCGAGCCACTCCATCCGCATTTAACATGGGAACAATATAAAAAACGAAATGTTCACGTAAAAGTGCCGCCTGTGGATCACGTGAGAGAAGAAAAGAAATAGCCCCATGAATCCCATGAGAGGCGGTCACTTCACCAGGATGAACACGAGCACTTAATAAAATTACTTTCTTTCCATTATCAAAATGAGAATACGGGCCAAGAAGTGTTCGCCGTGCCGTTCCTGTTGAACCCACACCACCTGTTAAAACAGCAGCGGCAGCAGCAGCGGCGGTGGTGGCGGTTGTTGTTGGGGCACAACTCCCATCATTTCCACGACGTTTATTACGTGTTGGTAATCCCTTCGCTGTTGGACTAGTAATGACCAGTAAATGTAATTTCCGCCCATCTTGTGTATAGCACAATACACGTTCCTCAAAACGAATTCCAGAAACACTCATTTTTACTAATTGATGCCAGTGACAAATATGGCAAAGGAGATCTGCATATGTGTAGGGAACACAAAAAGCAACTTGTACAACATCCGTGCTGCGGGGAATAATCACAAACGTTAACTCTCCATCTGAGTCATTGTTAATAGTGCGATATACACATTGACCTACAGGTGTCCATTGTCGTGGGGAATTCCCCGCACGCCAGACTGGACGCATTCCATTTCGCATATATAATTTTGTATTGGGTTGAATATTAACAAGTCGAAGAGAAATCGCCACAAGTGGACGAACTCCTGCTATTGCAAATCGAAACCACAATCGCTGTTCACATCCTGGTTCTGGTTCTAACCACAAGTTATACGTTGGCTGATGTGGGGCATTCCGCATACGCTCTACACGAGCTAAATTTCCACTTTCCATATCGGATGAAAAGATTATATTTTCTTCAGGGAATCTAAATAATTTTTGATGTGAAGGAGCAGCTGTACCAAGAACAATCCCTACTTGACGTTCCCACATCTCTATAAAACCAGTAACACCACCCCAATGGGGAAAACGACCAAGCACAAAAGCTGCAGCTTGGACAATAGGATGCCACATGGGTGTTAAGTAAGGCACTGCACCTTCACTACCACAAGCTGGACCACGATCATCACAGGCACAACAGGCTAAAATAGTACCAATAACAAATTCCTGTTCAGAGAGCCATCGCTCCGCTTCCTGTTGACTAAGAAATAATAAAGATGACTTTGGTCGTGTAGCTGTCCAAGAGGCTTTACCATTTAATGTCCAATGACATGATCTTTCTCCTGCAGACTCGGCTGCGCGTAACCGTTCCTGAGAAACACGAACAATAGGTGATACCAACTGTCCCCATACCTCTGCTGGAATAGTCTCTAATGGCTGTTGTGATTGTTGTTGTTGTTGTTGTGATTGTTGATCTTGAGGTTGTCTTTGAGTCTGATTTGGAATTCCATAGCCCATCAGTCCAATGTAATCCAAACAACGTGCGAGGACACGATCATCCACAAACCATATCTTTCTCTCCATATCTAAAACAAAAGCATTATATAAACTTAATGAACGACAAATAGTGTCTGAAAGACCATCTGGTAATACATGTTCATTATTACGATGACAACGTTGTTTCTCACGTCGTGGAGGTGAAGAAGAACGTGGGGCATCTCTCCAAAATCTTCGGGCTCGAAAACGAGCCGATCGTGGAGTTCGTGAACGTCTCATAGAATTATATTCTGCCTCAGATGTTACTTGGGACATTACTTCTAGTGCAGGATTATGTAAAAGTGTAGAATCTTTCTTTTCTTCTCGAATTGCTTTCATAGATGGACTATTTCCCATATATCGTTGTACAGCTTCTTCTTCATCTTCTTCATCATATGGTGTTAATTCTTCCATTTCCTCTTTATTATCTGGTGAAGTGATAGAACCATTTCTTTGCTGTTGTCGTCGTAATTGTTGTTGACGTTCTTCCTCTTCGTCTTCTTCTTCTCGGTCTTCTTGTGTCGCATTTTCACTTTCCATTTTGAGTCGATCTTTTGCACGGGGGGTTCGAGTTATACTAGAGTTTAAACTAGAGCATTCGGAAGGAATATCATATGTAATCGCTTCTTGTTCACTAACTGTATTACGATTTCTCATTAAATGTGGTGAAGATAATGAATGTCGTTTTAAATGTAGTGTATCTTCTATAGTATTATTATTATTAGTATTAGTTGTATTATTAGTATTCCTTGTTCTCGCTGTTCCATTGTTTACATCTGTAGTGGGATGTTTAGATGTACAACAGAGATCATATTCCATCTTTGGTGAGTTTGGTAACTCTGCCCGTCCATCAGGTTCAGAGTAAAGACGTTTTAACAACTCTGCAGAGTTACTAGCACTGTTAACGCCAGTACCACGGTCAATAATAGCAATACTACCACCTTGTCTTCTGGAGTGTACAAATTCTCTTCTTCTTCTTACATTAGATGGAGATTTACGCCGGCGAGCACTAGTAACGACAGTATTACCAAAGCCACTACTACTTTTCTTACCTATTACATTACCATTACTAGTAGTAGCGGTGTTGTTGCCATTACTCTTGATAGGCTTTGTTGTTTCCTCAATGATTGTCTTGTTACAGTTTCGTATCGTCAAAACTTGTGAGGTGGTAGGGGAAACTGAATCTATCTTTGGATGTCCTTTTCGAGATTTTGATATTCCCTTCGTCAGAGAACTTTTATCTACTTTAACCGACATTTGTTTCCCACCACTACCACTCTTTCTCTCTCTTCCTCCTCTTCTCTTCTTCCTTTCTTTTTTTTTTTTTTCTATCTCTCAATTTCTCTGTATGTATATATATATATTTGTATATGTGTATGTGCTTGTTTTTCTTGTCTGTTTTTTTTTTTTCTTTTTATTTCTTCTCTTGTTTCCCCTTTATCACCCTCTTTTTTTTTTCTGCTTTTCTTTCCTTTTTAATCGGTTTTGTGTGTACTCCTTTGAAGCGCACCGCACACTAGCTCCAGCAGAAGCGCACTGTCTACGCGATAAAGGACGTGTAGACGAATATGTACTGATGTGCGTGAGTATGTGTGCGTTCTACACATGTAGTGTGAGAAACAGAGAGAAAAAAGAAAAAGAAAAAGAAAAAAAAAGAAAAAAAAATGATACCGGAATGTTAGGAAAGAAATCTAATAAAGAAACAAAAAAAAAACACACACAGAGAATAAAAGAAAAAGAGATAAATAACGATTCACAAGAATAAAAAAAAAAAAAGATTAAAGAAAGAAGGTGTGTAGAACTATAAAACGTAAACAAGAAATATATATATATATAACTCCATAAACACTATTTTATTTCTTTCTTTTTCTTTCTCTATTTCTGCCGCAATCAATACCACCACCACCACCACCAACTCCTTCCTCTCTCTCTCTCTCTCTCTCTCTCTCTCCTCTTCTTTTTCTCATATAAAGAAGACGGTGATAAAGAGACAAATTCCAACAATGGCGCCCAGCACCACCGCCTCGCGTCGACGTCTGCTGTCAATGCGGCCCAACACACTTTTGATCACCGGCACCCGCTCGGCAATCTGCAGCACGCGGTCCTCCATCCGCATGAACCGCTCCCGCTGCCCGCGCAGTCCCTCGCGCGACTCCTCCGCCTGCTGGAGGATCTGCTGGACCCGCCGCTGGGTGTGCCGCAGCGCCGACTGCTCCTCCACCAGCAGCCGCACCCCGTCGTGACTGCCGCCCGCCCCGCCGCCGCCCGCCCCCGCGAGAGTCCCCGCGACCGCCGGCATCAACTCCGCCCACTCGCGCCGCCGCCGGAAGTCCGCCACCACCCGCTGCACCGCCCGCCGCTTCTCCGCCACGAGGCGCTGGAACCGGTCGGTGTGCGTGTGGGCCGCCGACGCCGGCGGGAGGCCGCGGGCCACTTCCGCCATCGCGTCTACGATGGACTCAAACCGCAGCAGCGCCGCCTCGAGCTCCGCGCGCTGGCGGTCAAAGTCCTGTTGGGTCTGCTCCAACTTCGCCAGGCCGTCCCCGGCACTGTGGCCACTGCTGCTACTCACATTCGTCTGGAGAGTGTTGTGAATGGTGTTGCCGCCACTGCTACTACTACTACTACTACTACCAAAGCCAAACCCGTTGGAACTGTCACCTATACGTGCAGTATTCTCCAATGCGGTGAGTTGATGCTCAATGAGACTGTCTATATTACGGGCATCATTCCGCAGTGATTCCCATGCACGCTGTTTGCTTTCCATTTGTTCTCGTTGTTATATATTTTTTTCTCTTTCGTATTTCTCTGTTCGTTGCTGTTGTTGTTTCTTTCTTTGTTTCGAAGGCAATATATATTTACACAGACAGAAACCCAAGTCACGCACTAATAAATAAAGACGCACGCAGAGAGAGAGAGAAAAAAGAAAGAGATACACTGATACTCTTCCTCTCTAATACTCTTTCTTCGTAAACCTACTTTCAAATCAATACGCGCCTTTTACACAACTCCTTGTTTTTCTTTTTGTGAATCTTCTTCTCTGCCTTTCTTCCTTCTTTCTTTTTTTTTATGTAATGGGTTATGATTTGTTTCTACGCACTGCTCACACTGCCTGTTGATGCCACTTTACCTTAAGAAGTAGAGATGGCACGAAACCGCTTATGTTTGGCTTGTATGTGTGCACCTAAATAATAAATAAATAAATAAATAAATAAATAAAAAGAAAACGATCAGAAACAACCGAAAAACAAATAAGAAGTTCATTTAAAAAGATATGATTAATTTATCACAAAGATCATAAAACGAAAATTGAAAATAATAACAATAAATAATAGTAATAATAATAGTAGTAGTAAAGTTATTATTAATAATAGGACGTCCCAAAGCAAGGAGAAAGAAGAAAAAAAAAGGAAAAGAAGAATCAAGAGCAGCAAGTCGTTCAATGCACTCTGTTTAAATTAAAATAGGCGTATACGTCTTGGAAAGTGTATTTATCTACACTAATAAAAAAGTATACAATTCTTCTCTTATAGCTTTTGTGGTTTCTTTCAGTTAAATGTTTGATAATGGAGTCATACATTATTTTGTTTCTTTTTATTTTTTGTTGTTGTTGTTTTGAATCTTGCTTTCCCATCTGTGAAGTCCTGTCTAGAACGCTCTTCTACTTTTCTTTCTTGTTTCTTTTCCTTTTCTTATTCATGCCTTACAGCCGTACCATTTAGTAGGCTGAAAGAGAAATAAAACAAAAAGAAGAATAAAAAAAAAAAGTTAATAAAAGCAATACATAAACAGACATCCCCCTTATTGTACGTGTCTACCACCAATTACATAATAATAATATCCACACACACACACATACATACAAACCAGCTCTCTACTGTTATTTCGATTTTTTTTGATTTTTTTTTTTTTTTTTTTTTATGATTGGCGACACGTGGCTCTCACAGTTTCTTCACATAAAAGCCGAAGATAGGGCCGCACCACAAAGTCACGATCAAACATCTGCAGTCGGTGAGCATCTAAAGAAGAAATAACTTGTGGCATTTTTGCAGAGTCTGTGCCAACATCATACGTGCGTACATGCCGTAAGTTTCCTGCAATGTGTACTGTCTGTTCCATGATCTCTGCTGCGTAGGCAATACAAATTTCATTAAATGAGGCACTGTGAATAAGTTGATGAAAGAAACCTGCCGCTTGATCTCGTGTTAATTCCTCACGGCGATAGGCCGCCTCATGAGCGGCACGTTCTTCTGATGAAATATCACGTGAGGGACCAAATACACTTTCCATAGCCCGTTGATTTCGTTTACGCTGGGAAGCGGAACTGCACTCATCCGTCAATACTGCCGTGGATCCTGAAGGGTATTCAATAATGGCATCATCATCATCACTATCATTATCATCACTATCTGAAAAAGGAGATATCAGACCTTTATTACCGGAATCACGACTATTGCTACGGTAGCCGTTTTTGCCATTATGATCAAATTGATTATGATTTTCATGATTATCATTATCATTATTATTTGTATCAATACCATTCTCTTCTGTGGATTTTCTCACTGGCGGTGGTGTTAACCAATCAGACCATACCACTTGATCTTCAAATACCTCAGAAATTTCTTCTAATAATTCCTGTAAATCTCGTCCTGTAACTATACCAGTTGCACTAAATACATGTGGAGGTCGACGATCCAGTGCATCCTCCACTACACGTCGTGCCATCTCTACTACACGTGGAACAGCAAGATGTAATAAAGCTTCTACTGAAAATCCACGTTCTGCATCTTTCCTTTCAATATCATCTTCATTATTCATCATTTGTGTTAATGGAGAATCTAAACCCATCTGTTGTTCCATCTTCTCCAGAATAGTTTGCATGATAAGGTTTTGAGTACCGCCTGACCACCAGGAACGAATTTTCGACACCACAGTCCCACCACGTGAACCCTGTTGTTCCTCACGTCTACGAAGTAATGCCACTAACACAAGTGTCATCATCTTCACTACATATAAAGTAATTGTTAGACTATGCACATGGGCGGCGCTGAGTATTCCTACTAGTGTAAGTTTGAAGAGTTCTTTTAAACCAGAAAGTTTCGATTCACGGTCTACTGCCACTCGTAACTGATCCTTTACCGCATCAATACCAAGGGATTTAATAAGAAGAGTCTTCGTCGTACGTTGGTGTGCACGTGCGGCGATAATACCTCGATCATAGCCTTGAGGGAGATAAGCCTCAATGGCGTACTGTACATCATTACGAGTGAGGAGTCTACTTCCCTGATCACGCTGTACAAAGTAGGTAGCACCAGCTGCCATTACTAATAATACTTTACCAGCAGATCGCACCTCCTCGTCGAAGAGGTCACTGAAGAAATCCTGCATTTGTACTTCCGTTCGCTTTTTGTTGTTGTTGTTGATCTTCTTTTGTTATTGTTATTGTTATTGTTATTCTTTTTCTTTTCGTTTGTTTATTTGTTTGTTTTTGTTCTTTCTTTGCTTACCTGATGGACACACACTCAAACACTGATGATCCGGTTCTCGTGGTTAAATAATGTACCTCAACCCCCACCTTCACTTTTGTTTTTCCTTCTTTCTACCTAGATATATATAAATATATATGTATATTACTTTCTCAGTCTGTGTATATCTTGCGTGCAAAGATAAACCCTGAATAAAAAAAAAGGAGCATAAAAAAACAAAGTGAACACGAGAATAATGAGCCGTATGAGGGAAAATGACTGAACTTCTTCATATGGAGGTGTTAACTCTCTCCAGCGGTCACCAACACCATCAGGAATAACACTCTCCCATAAAAATAAAAAATAAAAAAAAAAAAAATATATCACCATCATGAACCAACAAGAACAAAGAATAATCTAAACCTTGCTTTACCTCCACCCCTTAATAAATCAAATAAAAAGAAGAATCAAAGAGTAATATATAATAATTTTCTGAAAGAACCATACCCTCCCCATAAAAAAATAAAAGTGCATCCCAATTATTTTCCTCTCTATAGTTGTTTTCCAATTAATACCAGAAATGACGAAATGGAAGTGCTGTGAGAAGCCCTTTTAACCCACTCCCCGCTCTTCCCAATTGCAAGTTCCACACCCTTTAGAGACTTCCATATTGCTGCGGTTTTCCATCTAGATATGCTATCCGCCGGATTGTCCTTTGAGGCGACGTAACTTCACGTGGCTCGTATTCCATGTGATCACAAAAATCTCTATTTATGCCCTTGGCCTCTGGAGCTAACACCTGTGAATGTGCATGTTTCCTTTTTGCATAAATGTACACTATCGTTGTGTTGTCTATACGAATAGGCAAAGGACCAGTCAAATGTGTTTTAAAACTAAGAAAAACTAGATGGACTGCACGCACCTCCGCTTGGGATATCATCACTTAAAGAAACCGTGTTTTCCTTGTGGTTAAAGTGTACTCCCATGAAATCATATTCTTTTGTGTTTAACTGTTGGTCCTCAATAGTGACTCTACAACTTTGCAATATTATGTATGTTTTGCCCTCCCCAAACTTCCCACCTTTTCGTGTGGACCACTTATTCTCATGTTATCAATCCAAAGATGTATTTTTTATAGCTTGGGTACTGAATACTTCAGCAATACCAATAAAGGATCACCAGCCAGAACTCTTGTAATAGTGTTTTAAAATCTCAGGACTACATTTGTAGTCCATGAGAAGGCGAGTGAACTCAACGAGTTTGCCTGATTCCGTGCGGAAACGGAGACTTGCTCGTATGTTCACCGGTAGAGTCGCCTGGAAAAAGAATGCCTTTAAATCAAATAATGAAACGGTATTGGTGGTGCCGAATGTTTCTTCTGCCGCTTTACGGCTGCCTGTATGAAAGGGATCATCCTGTTTTTTTGAGGGTCAATGGTATCCTCCCAAATGTCCTGCATCTTCACTCCGGGATAATCCTTAACTGTTTGTATTATCTGAAGATCTCTGTAAAGCTATCATCCCATTTGAGCCTTTGGTGCCGTAATCCCTTCACTGCTAATAGTGTTCGTCCATTGCACAAAATTTTTCCATACGGCGGTATAGGCTGCGCCAGTATTTGCTGATATGGGAAAAAAAAAAAATTTTTGATATTCGGTTAACACTTGGCTTGGTGGTGTCTCCACTATATAATTCATCATTCCTTCAACAGTCCGGATTTTCTCCTCCCGCCTGGCTCCTACATTCCAACCCAACTGTTGAAATTCCTGTGTTCCTGGATAACATGATTTTGGGGGTTCAACATTAACCCGTAGGGTGTGGTTAACCCTCTCTTTCCAGAGCTTGTGGGAGACATCTTCACGTGTTTGTGTGGAGATGTTTTCTTATTTCCAATTCCGCTCCTTGATTCTCTCGTTGCGAGGGTTTTTTTGTAATGCTGCCAGAACTTGCGCTTCTGTTTCTTCTCTTTGTGTTTTTTTTTCTTTTTTTTTTTCTTTCGGTCATGGCTGCCTTTAGAAAGTCTGGGTTCAGCGGCAACATTATAGCGGACAAGGGAGGCACCCAGAGACCCTCATGTCGTAATTTTATATGGGTTCACGTGAACCATTTCAGGGTGTCGTTTTCAAATATTAACGTACCGTCAATGTTTATAAATTACATGCGGGAATTCTTCTGGAGAAAAGTCAAATGAAAAAGCCGCAGGTCCATTATGGCGCACAAATGCTGTGAACGCCTACGTGCTGATTTACCACTCTACTTCTGTATACGACGAGACGGATTGTAGTTAACATTTTACTTGCTTTTAAACTTACTTTCTTCAGTAGCTTACGTTTGGCAAACTGTGAAGAAGAAAAAGAAAAAAAAACAAAATTGGCGCAAGGTTCGATCATTCTTTTCGCAAGCTGTCAGCCTTTTTCTTTTCTTTTCTTTTCTGGATTCCCTTTTCTCATTCCTCTTGTTTTTTTTTTTTCCTTTTTCTTCCTCCTCCTTCTGTTTTCACTCATCTTGCTTACGCCGTTTAATATCAAACACCTGCATGGTGAGAGCCCCGCTCTGCAGATCCCCCGCCACCCGGTCGGAAGCCACTGGCCGCCGCCGCATCGCCTTCTCATCCTCCACTTCAATTGTTAATATTCCAGTCGACTCATCAAGCCAGACTTTATGTGTGCGCTGCACCACAATCCCACGGGTTACTCGCAATCCTCCTCCTCCTCCACTACCACTACCACTAGTTGTTGCTGTTGTTGTTTCCCAATGCGGCCGTAGTGGATAGGTTGGCATTTCCATTTCCTGCACGGCATTATCACCACCACTATGTACATTCCCATCCCCTTTACTTTTATCACTTGTCACTATTGGCTCTACTTCTATTTCCTCTCCGGTTTCAATGGAAACAAGGAAATTATGCCATGGACACCGCAGACATGCCACCTTCCCTGCAGAGAAGGTATCTTCAATGTCCATTACTTCACCTTCGCCGAGTGGTCCAGAGCTGTGATAACACGGACTGTCTATGGCGTACAGCCGATCATTATGCAACAAGACAGTAACAAAACGGTACGGATCCTCCAGCAGGAAATGTGCACGATTCCGCTGTTGCCGCAGCCGCTCATACGACCAACCATCATACATGTGTTGATTGGACATTGGCTCATCCTACGAGGATGAGAAGATGAGTAGGAGTGTGATTATATATATATATATAAAGAAAAGAAAAGAAAAAAAAGAAAAAAAAAAGATAAATAAAAGGAACAAGTAAAGAAAGATTAAAAGAAAAACAACAATCATATCCAAGAACCGATTCACAAGTTACAGAAAATAAACGAAAAAGGAAAAAGGATAAAAAAGTATTAATTCCAACATATATATATACTTTTTCCACTGCTGTACACAGGACAGTACACAAAAAAAAAACAGAAGCACAAACAAAAATTTATCTGAAGGGGGGTTGTTTAGTAACCATTTTAAGTTGCTACTGCTTCTGCTCATCATGTGCCATCACCTAATATCGAAGGAGTGCAATAGAAAAACGTGATAATAGAAGATAATAATGGGGAGAAAGAAGAAAAATTTATTAAAAAGAGTGTTTAGATAGAAAGATAATAAAAGAAAGAGAGAGAGAAATGTTTTAATATGATAGTAAGAACAAAAGTTTGTATTACAAAAAAAAACAAAACAAAACTGTGGAATATACGAAAGAAAAAAAAAAAAAGACCATAAGAAAAATTAATATAAACTTTATTAGTGGTGCCTCCTTTTCTTTTTTGATTTTTTTTTCTTTTTTTTTTTTTTTCTTCTTCAACTACTATCACTACATCACAACATAATCGCACCACTACTACCACTATCCCAACCAAAACACAAACCACGGCGCAGGAGAAGGGAGTTCTCTTTTTTTTTTTTTTACTTTCAATATATACGTATATAAACATATATATATACATATTTATGTACATATGCACATAAATGTATTCTTTTTTTTTCTTTTTTTTTTTTGTTTTTGTTTCCCCCACCTTGCTTCGCTCTATACTATAGATTTAACCATACAAAAGTGGTCTGCGGTATGAGCTGCAGGAAAAGAGAGTCAATAACCGATGTAAAACAAACAAACAAACAAACAAACAGACAAAAAGTCAGACAAACAAAATTTTTTTTTTAAAGAACAAAACAGAAAAACTGTCATCGATGTATCTCTCCGCTATGCCCACCCATTCTGCTGGGTGAGTGCGCGTTGACGCTTACATGTAGCCGCAGCAGCCGCTGCCGCTGCCGCTGCCGCTGCCGCTGCCATTGCTGTTGTTTTCTCACGTGGATCTACAAATATATTACTCAGACTGCAATTGCAGCCAAGGCGTGGAGAACTGTGCCGCATGATGGCATCATCCAGTGCCTTTGCGGCGTGATGAAACATTCCCAACACTTCCGGTAATCGGTAAGAGGCAGCCGTGAGGTCCGGCCCTCCTCGCAGCACAACGGCTGGCTCTGCTGCTAATGGGGTTTCTGTTGTTGTTGTTGTTTCTGATGTTTCTGTTGTGGTAGTATTAGTGGTAGTAGTGGTAGTGGTTTCCGTTTCATCTGGTGTGGCGAAGGCATCGTGCAGGCCGTATCCATTAATAAAAGTATGTGATGAGGCGTAGTACCAGAAATTACGTAAACGTCGTGGGGTTATATTGCGTTGAAGCCTCTCCCCTGCCCCTTCCTCCTGCAGGAATCGACGTACAAGCATGTAGAGAGCGGTAGAGGAAAGACCGCCGTGGAAGAGGGAGTTAAGGCCCCATTGTTTAAGTGCCGCTTTTGTCACAATGATGAGTTCTCGCGCCCCGCGGTGGGCCGCAAGCCACGCACGTTGTCGCTGCAACACATCCGCCACGTGTGTGAGACCAGAGACGCTGATATCGCAGACAACGCCACTGAAAGGATCGCGGATGTTCACCACAGGTACACGGCAGAAGTCGTACACCTTAACAGAGAATCCATCGTGTGCGAGACGGTCGCTAAGCTGGTAGAGTCGGCGCAGGCGTCTCGCCCGCACTTCCATCGCAGCAGTTGAAGTCGAAGTAACAACATCATTATTATTTAAAGTAGTAGTATTAGTCGTAGTGTTAGTAGTGTTGGTAGTGGTATTAGTAGTAGTAGTATTAGTAGTAGTGGATGCGGCTGTTGTTGTTGTTGTTGCAGCAGCTGTGGTATCATCATCTTCAAAGAGAACTGTGAGATCCACATCTGAGGAAGGGATAGAAAGCCCAAGGGCGAAACTACCATAGACGAGAACTCGTGTTGTAGGACCCCACAGTTCACCCACAATATTCTGCACCCTCGTAATAACTTCCTGTCGTTGACGTTCCTCTTCAGTATTAAGTGTAATATATGAAATAAAGTCCCGCAATTCCATTGTGAGCCCATCCTCCGTTGGTGGGTACAATGCGGCTCTACACCACGCCGGCTGTACGCTTTGCAGTCGTATTTCTCGACGTAATGCCGCTGCCGCTGCTGCTGCTGCTGCTGCTGTTGTGGTGGTTGTTGCTGTTACTGTTGCGGTTGCAGTTGCTGTTGGTGGTGGTGTTGGTACTGTTGCTGTCATCGTTGTTGTTGTTGATGCCCTTGTTCTTACATCTGCTGGTTTTGCGGCTGCACAAGGTGGTCTATACGGCGGTGGCCGTGTATTCCTTTGCCTATTTACCATGGGCTTCGGTGTTACTTCAGTGGATGTGGCTCGCTGACGACGATCGTTATTATCATAACGCAACGCTGCTCCTACGGTGTTCTCCATATCAAATTTATATATTTTTTTCTTTTTTTTTTTGTTTTTGTTTTCTTCTTTGCTCGTTTATTCTTTTTTTTTTGTATTTCTTTTCTGTTTTCTTACCTTCCTTCTTTCCTTCTTTTTTTAATATATATATATATATATGTATATATGTATATATATATTCTTTTTTTCTCTTGACTCTTTGTTTCTTCTTTTCTTTTTTTGTTTCTTCTTCCTTTTCTTTCTTTACACGATCTTCCAGGCAACGACAAATACACGCACCCCTCTATTATTTCGTTGTGTTTTTTCCCACAAACAGACGCAAACGCAAAGAGAAAAAAAAAAAAAATGGGGGCTCCCTCTCTTCCTTTCAGGTATAAAAGAAAGGACAATAAAAGATTAGTAGAAGAAAAGAGAGAAAAAAAAAAA